CCTCTTGCCAATCCGAAACGGTCTGTACGGAATCATACATAGATCACTTCTTATGTGCAAGCAAAGAGAAGACATTTTAAGATTGTTAGTAGGACTTTCTCACTCACAGAACAAAAGAGAGATTAAAAAGACCCACCCATCACTTTGAAATCCTCAGTTTTAAGACTTCTCACTGAAATATTGACCACTGCAATACTTAAAACATTATTAAGACCTTTACTTTTTTCATTAATTCTAAACTGCTCTGCAGCACTCAGCTGAATCTGTTTCATGACAAAAAAGAACGAAAGGCACTTTGTCACTGCTCTGATCTCTGGCTCTTTTGGTGGTGTGAGCAGAAAAGAAGAAATAAACAAAAATCTGTTCTCAAAAAAAAAATCCAGCATGCAGCAGTTCTATTTCCCTCTATGTTATTGACTCCAAATGAAGCAAGAATAGCATTACAGCACATATAAAAAGAAATAAATTAAATATCCTGGCTATGATAGCAGTAGTCTCAAAAGAAAAAGCTGCATTCTTACCATTTGTACTTTAGCGGAAGATGGCAGGCAGTCAGTTTTCTCCCCCACGTTATGTTTCTGTCCAGACCAATGACCTCATTTCCTGGATAAGAACTTTGAATTTGACCCATCATTGAATTCCCTCCAAATGTGAATGTCTTGCTAACTGCGCTCATATTAATTTCTGCGTTGGTCTGAAATACACTTTGAACTTCTCGGGTATTTATAATGTGGGACTGAAGTGACATTAAGAAGTGTGATGCAATTGCTGTTTTTAAAACAATGGTGGTATAGAGGCAGGCCACTTCCAGGAAATTAGCATCCCACTGAGAAAAGCACACCAGTGCTATTGACTGCAGTGAGAAATAATGTGTGCAGTATGATATGGTAAAGAGGGATGGTGTAGGATTTTGAAGGGCAAATTATTTCAGCTCATATTAGTTCAACAAAGTGCAACCGATCTGAAAGAAATAAAAGGGTTTGCAAGTGGCAAGTAAGACTGAGAAAGTACACTTGTCAGAATCAATTAATGCCTTTCCAAGCGTAGGAAAATGGCAAGGGAATTAATTAAGGATGTGTGTTCTTTGTTCAGTCCAGAAGAAGAGATGAATGCGTTTGCACAAAAAAACCCTCAAGCTTTTTCTGTGTGTTGTTTTGCTTGAAGTTAAAGTGCTGAGAATACACATGAGCAGAAATACTTCTGCTGAAATACATTCAGCTCCTGTGTCCAGCTTCTTGTCTGCCACTCCTGCAGTGCTCTTAAGACAAGTTTATGGGGAATTAAAGAGATTTTTCCAGATAGGATTCCTTTTAAGGTGACTTGGAGTTTCACCAAAAAAAGAACTTGCAAACCCCAGTAACGTGAAATATTCAGAGTATGAGGGAATTTGCTGTCACTGGAGTCAGGATGTAACAAGAACAAGCCCTTCCCTAGGGTGGGATTTACGTGCTGGGAATTTGCCCAGGAAGATGGTCTCCAACCAGCGCACTTTATTTATAGGTGATGTTTTCCTTCAAGAGCTGCTGTGCACAATTCAGCCCAGGTGTTGCCATGACTGCGGGACACTGAAGGGGCCCTGCTGACCCTTAGGAGCCCCGCGGGAGGGAGGGCAAAAGCGATGAGCAGGGAGGGACAAGACGGCCCTGCTCCGTCCCGACGCTCCCGACGGCCGCACAAGGCGCTTCCCGCCACACGGCCAGGACTCCACAAGCCCTACGAGGAGCTGAGAGGAGCCGCCTTCTCATTGGCTCACGGCGGGCGCCGAGGCCGTGAGGGAGGGGAGAACTTGCGATTGGGCGAGCGGCCGGGTGGGCGGCGTGTGATTGGGCGAGCG